CATAGCCTCCTCTATTGAGCTCTCATTAGGGATCGCTCCCACCTAATACTCCCGAGGCTTGGGAGCATGAATTCCTCCGCTACCAAGAATTTCCTGAGTACCAGCGAATCCACAAGGTGATGTCATATCGCAGCCTCTTCGACAGTAGGACCTGCGATTCTTCAGAACACAATGACAGTTGATGAGTTCAAAGAGATATACCTTATCGAGTGGTTTCATAGAATGCTCGGAAGAGGTACGCTAACAGCTTGATCAAGGTCCAACAGACCGCTGCAGGTATCGGGATATTCGTCGGAGTGCCCTTTATTTTCCTATCACTGAGCAGAGTCATTAAGTGGCCCTTGGGGACCCGCTTAAGTCTCCTCCTGGGTGCCGGTGCCACACAAGTATATACCTTCCTACGATAGCGAGTGTCACTGTTCGTATCAGGGTATAGTCGGGTGGTGGATGGTTCGCTCTGGTCTCGAGGAGAACCCTGATCCCTATGCGAGGCCTCGAGTTTCCAGCTATCGCATGTGCTCCCACTGGCTAATGGCACTGCTTCTCTATGGAGGTCCGTGGCTCGCAGCGCCATCGTTACCCTCACAGCAGAGTTAACCTCTCAGGTACCGTATGGTGCGGTTTGTCAGTACTCAGACCCACTCCAGCATCAACTAAGCTGGCGTCGCTGACTGCTCTGAAGTCCCTCAGGCGCTGGGCTCTCGTACCCACTCTAGCAGCCTTGATTACCCTCGCCAGCGGGCCCTTCGTTGCCGGTGAGTCGACTGGGATACCGCGATTGCTTTTATTCCATCGGTAATTTATACTGCACAGGTTTGGACGCTGGACGAGCTTTCAACACGTGGCCCAAGATGATCGATGACTGGGTACCCGATGAAGCATGGAGGTTCTGGGGTGAGATCCTAGACCGATTCAAGTCTGAGAAGTCCGGGCTTGTAGGTGATCTGATGTCTACTGGACACCCTCAGTGGCTAGCCGCCACGGAGAATACAGCAGTTGTCCAATTCAATCATCGTTGTTTGGCATACTCGACCGTTATCTCGTCTGTTCTCCTCGGTATCTACGCCAGGAGGATGAAGGATGTGAGATATTTTTATTCAGCTCCATCTCGTCATAAATCATATTCAGTCCATCCCTAAGAGTGCCTATAGAGCGGCTCTTTCAACGAGTCATCTCTCGATCGTGCAGATGCTACTCGGCATCTCAACTTTACTAATGTATGTCCCTACAGAACTAGGTGAGCACGCAGTGTTCCTTTCTATGGTGAGTGTGTTGCTGCTAACACTCAGGAGTGCTACATCAAGGAGGTGGTTTGGCAGTATTCACTGCTCTGATCATGCTCCGACATGCTTGTCGTCTCCCATTGCCGGTGACAGCCGCATAGGTGTCACCGGTTGAGAAGTACCCGGGTGTTTCTGGAGTGATTATTCATAATAATGCTGTCCTATTCTGTTCAACATTCTGAACATGTGAGGTAACTTTTTCTACTGTGTCTTGTCGAGTTCCTTACTGTATTCTCACATAATTCACAACTCTAAAATGACCAACATCATGAAGGACTAGCCGTGGGGTAATTAACAACTCAACAGAGGTGAGATATCCTATATCGACAATCAGACGCCCTGTAGCAAACGACAGGCCAGCGACACATATACCAAAGTAACCTCGAGCCTTCGTGCTCCCAACTGGAATATCATCGATGCGGGTCGATGTTAGTCCTGGATACTCCTGACGAGTCTTACAAAAGTCTGGTGCTCTATTTTATCACATGGCATTGACAGAATCAATACACATGCACCAAGGCATAGAAACGCTGCAAACCTCCTAGTGTACAACGACTTAACAAAGCGATCACTTGCACTTCTTAGACTCCTTAGCCTCATTTCCCATCTTCATCTTGGGGGCGGCACCCTTCCGATGATCATCATTCACGGCTGATACATGCCAATCGTAGTTGGCAATGAACGTGCATGCTATCGCTATATGAGCAGCAAAGAAGAGCGTCGAGGCTCCGAAAAGCTCAATGAACCTGCGCACAGCAGCGCAATCTGATGGAGGCACTCAGGAGTAAGCGGTCCGACTTACGTATTCCTTCCCTCGAACTCGAGTTCATACGCAAAGAACAACCAGAGACCTTCAGTTGACAGCCACAATACTGAGAAATATCCAATTGAACAGCAGAGGTGCGGTAAAGACGATCACAACGAGAGGTGATTAACGTCATGACATCATGCAGACCCGGCCCACCTCCAAGTGCCAGTAGCCAAGTTTTGCTCACAGTGGGCTTGAGTTGGCCCAACGCCAATGGTAGCAGAGCGAGATACCATACAAAGTACTGTGCCGTGCACACCTTGTTGAAAGCCACAAAGAGTAGAGTCTGGAGAATGATGCATAGGCGTTAGGGATGGGCAAGGCGTTACCTGGAGGAAGCTGCCCATGTTGAGGCTGGTTCTACTAAATCCGCATCCAACAGCGAGGACTGCCACCCACTGTGGGATGAACGTAACCACCGATAGAGCTATCGAGGGGGTCTCTGCTGACAGGTACCTACAACACTCAATGGGACACACATGGAATCGCATAGGAAAACTTACATCAAATAGAAGAAGATCGAAAAGTTATGGCGATGATCTATTCGGACGAAATGGTAGAGGTACGTCTGG